GGGAAAGAAAGCTGAGCTCTTAGTTTGACTGTAGGATTTGCTTTGACCATTGGATTTATTGACTCTCAATGTGGAACAGCATGTGGAGGAATGAAGGGATGGAGGGAAGAGAGGGAGAAAAGGAGAGAGAGATTGTACATACATGGTTAATTATTCTAAGTCTAGAGAAAAGGATAAGATGTCTAAGAGATCATTTGATCACCTCCAGCTGTTAGTCTCACTTTAGTTCCTCACAGATGGGTCACTTCAAAGGGCTCATGTGTCCCAGGCTCATGTGTCCCCACAATGTAAAGGTATATCAGGTGTGAAATGGGCTCTTCCACACCAACCCTCTCTATTCTGACAGTTTTGGTAGCTTCAACTGAATGCTACACATCCTCACTGTTCATTACTGTGGAAAAAGGGCAGCAAGATAAGGGTAAAGAAATAAGTTTGACTTACAGCTAATACCTACAACACTACCTTAAGGTTGGTAAAGTCAATGTTTGTCCAGGATAGGGGCCTGCTATATGCCCAGCTCCCTCCCAGGAACTCCATTCTATCCTGAACAAGGTTGCATGGCACCATGATTTCCTCAACAAAAGGAAGTAAAGGAGTAAATTGGAAATGAGGGGTCCTGGAAAAGAAAGAGACTTTGGAGGAAAAGAAGAAAGAAATAAAAGCTCAACCAACAAAAGGCTGTCTGAAGATAGTTTCTGTATTCTACTCTCCTGAGTCCTACTACCTTGGATCTCACTTTTCTTGAAAATTTTCTACCATCATCCAGTAAGTTTATTAAAGAATAAGTATTTTCTAATTTTTTTACTCTCAAGCCCAACAGATATACCTTGCTAGTTAGGGGCTAGAAAAAATATTTCTGAGACCAGGAAGTTCATGTGGATATGAAAGGATGGTCTTTCTGAGTCCAAGGTTCTTGCTTCAGTTATGACAATGTTGGGCTTCCCAGGAGACTTGAACACCTCTCTGTTGGATCATACAATAGTGCTCTGACCCAGTGCAGCCCATGACTTTCACTGCTGTTGATTGGTTGGAACCTGTGACTTTGCCTTCGTCTTACCACAGGATCACATAGGACAGAAAAGTGGATGGGGAAAACTCCCCATTTGCACCTGCAGTAGGAGGGACAGAGGGCAAAGTAAAGGCCTGACTCTGAGTGGGAGGTGGCAGAGTGAGAAGTGGCACATATTAAGATGACAGACACCAGAATCTAGTAGCAGAGGTATGTACTGTCCACTGGAGTACTAGAAAACAGAGTCTCCAGCCAGGGCAGAAGGTCATCATGCCCCCAGAAATGTGGCTAGACCTTAGTCTCTTGAGAAATGGGAGAATATGGAGAAAATCTGGATTAGGGTAGACAAGTCATCTTTGTACTGCCACCATTGGCATCATGCAGGCTAGGTCCGTATAGCTTTGGGACTGATAGTTAAAGGTCTGAGTAGGAGATCAGGGAGGAACTGTTTGAGCCCCTGATGGGGTCTAATGGATTGGGAAAGTCCACCCAGGAGGAAGTAAGAAGCCAGCAACTGGCCTCTTTAAACCCCACCCTATTTACAGTGCCTGATGGATATCTTCTGACCGTAGCACTTTATAGACAACCCAGTAGAAGATGTTAAAGATGAGGAAAGTGAAAGGGAAGACAGCCCGGGAGATGGTGTCAATTCTCTTGGCTCGGTCCACGTAGACTTTTCGCATGGTTTCTCCCTCTCTTAGAAGAGGGGCTGGAGGTTGGGGGCTATAAATGCCAGAACCTTCCATTGGACCACCATCCCTTGCCTGCAGGCAGTGGCCCAAGCCATAGCCACGAAAATAGAAGCGACTTTCTCGGATGATATCTTCCTCCTAGAATGATAAGAAAGAAAAGGCACAATTTGAGGTCAGAGCTCTAAGGACAAAAGATAGGGACCAGGTTACACATAACTGTCTCAGGGGTGATATTATGCAGACAAGGCAGCTAGGTTTGCAAACCTACTGCTTGCTTTTTATGGCCACAAAACTACTCATGAGATAGAGGTATGCTAAGTAGCTATACATGGTACATGTAGTATATGTTATTATTCCATTTGCAAATAGGCACTGAGCTCCCTTTTTAAAATGCATAACATCATTTAGAGCCATCTAAAACCCAGGGAAGTGCCAACTACTGTAAGAGGGACATCTCAATGTCAAGTTACTTCTCACTGGTAATAAACAGAACAACGAAACCATTAGACAGTGAAGCTGAGATATTTCTACTAGGTGAACTTGACTTCAATGACTTTCAAAAGCATCAGAGTTAGTTCTCTTTGTAAATAGTATATTTTAAAAAGTATCTCAATTCAAAGCTGAGCATTTCAAAAGTTTAGAATAACTAACCTGGAGGGTAGCCAATGGTGTGGTGGTTAAAGTGGCTGGATCTCACATGGCCAAATGCACAGTTTATGTCCCAGACTGGCAGCTTGAAAAACATGCTGGGCCTGTGTGTGCATGCCCCAGATCCTGAGAGGAGAATGGAGGAAAAGGGATTGTGACATGGCCACTCCATCGGGGGGTGGGGGTGGGGTGATGTCTCACTTTCCCTCCCTCTCTCTCTGTGTCTCTCGCCAGTGAGTGCACATGCCCTACAGCAACAATTAAAAAATAAAATAACCAAATGGACTATCCAAATTAAGGTAAAGTAGATCACCCTATTGCAGGTATGTGTGCTTCTCTACAAATCAGTGGATTTGATATTCAGGGTAACGTTTGTTACCCAGTGCATGTTTCATTCATGTAAAATGCATGTATTATGATAAACACTTAAAATTAAGGAAATAAATTTTATATAAGCTTTAAGTAATATGGCAGATTGCAGACAGTCCATTTATCCCATCTTAAGTAGCTATAACAATTGGAAGCCAGGAATTAAGGAAACAAAATAGAGATAAAAGATAGATACAGATAGATAGATAAGGGAGAGAGAAAAAACAATGACCCTGAGTGTTCAACTATTAGATGTCTACTTATATAAATATGAGGCCCTCAAACCACCAGTGAGAGCCTGTTTACTCTTATTTTATAGACAACCCAAAGAAGCCCAATTTTATCTACTTCTAAAGAGTTGAGAAATACTTCCTTCAAAGATGGATTTAATTCCTAAAA